CCTCTAGGATGGAGCACTCCAGGCAAGATCTAGGTTCATTTTCCCCACTAACTCTGATGTCTGTGTATGAAGTGGCTGGTGATAACCACTGCATAGGAATAGGAGTGACGATAGGAGCTCAAAGCAAAGATCTCAAAGCTTTTAGAGTGATCAGGGAGAGCACTCATTCGTTCACTCCCTCATTTATTCACCAGACACCTGTGGGTGTGCTGAGCTCTATGCTCCTTCCTTATCGGCACTTCTTTTGCCAGAAGAATCCTGGGCAGGACTGACTGTGGGTCTTAGACCCAGAATCTTCGCATTGGAAGGAGCAGATGGGAACTGCTGTCATTCACCGGTTCAGGAAGGGCTGAGTGTCAGGCTAAACACTGAGAATATGTAAGTATGAAGCATGAAGTCTAGAGAGAGGAGGAAAGTGCTTTGCATAGTTTGTTAGTCCAGGGTCCCCGTGACTGGACCGGTACCGGCTCTTTCTGGCCGAACCGATGGCCTTCCTCCTTCCTGCCTCAACATGGGTCCCATTATCTTTTAGGATTGAGTCTGGGGCTGAGGGGGAGGCCACAGAGAAGTAGTAGGATTCCTTTCTCACTGGTAGTAACAATGGCTGGGCTCTCCCCTGCAGTGAGAACTGGATTTCCTGTAGGTGGGGTTCAGGAAGACTTAGAAGACTTTTCTCATTCTTTCAATGAGCCACCTGCTTGCTAAATTCCAGGTCTTCATGAGCACCGTTCACTCTGCATGTACCTCAGTTTCCCAACCTCCTTCACCTGGCTAACTCCCATTGGGCCACGGCTTAAAGGGCTCTTCCTCAATAACTTTGCTCACCCGTAGCACTCCATGCTCATTCATCGCACCTTGGACTTCCCGTAGGATGACCATGGACCTTGGGATTTTGCTCTTGCTTATTTTTTTTTGAAATATATTTTTATTGACTTCAGAGAGGGAAGGAGAGGGAGAGAGAGATAGAAACATCAATGATGAATCATTGATCAGCTGCCTCCTGCACGCCCCCTACTGGGGATTGAGCCCGCAACCCAGGCCTGTGCCCGTGGCCAGAATCAAACCTGGGACCTTTCAGTCCGCAGGCCGATGCTCTGTCCACTGAGCCAAACTGGCTAGGGTGCTCTTGCTTATTGAATGCCTTTCAGCTGGACCGTGATCTCTAGGAGGGGCAATCACCAAGACTGCCTCTCCTTTGTGTACTTGTTTTTAGCAATTGTGTGCCCATGATCTCAGGCAATACTTAGTATACCGAAGATGTTCAATGTGCAGTTGTTGAATAACCTGGGATCCATAGCTAAAGGCAAGGCCTTCAAGTGAGTGACTTTGATTCAGGTCATCCAACAACAGTGTATCAAGGACCAGCACACACACAGGATATAAAGATAACTTGGAAAAAGAGGTTTACAATCTAGTAGAGGAAACTTGAAAACTTTAAAAACTGCAAAAATCTCTTCTAATCAGAGCCTCCATTCCCTCCTAGCCCTCTCTCCCTCACTGGTAGCTCATTGATTCTTGGCTACTTGAGCTGGGGCCCAACATATACTTCTGAGTCCCGGGACCCTCTACAGCAGTGGTTCTCAACCTTCTGGCCCTTTAAATACAGCTCCTCATGTGGTGACCTCCAACCATAAAATTATTTTCGTTACTACTTCCTAACTGTAATGTTGCTACTGTTATGAATCGTAATGTAAATATCTGATATGCAGGATGGTCTTAGGCGACCCCTGTGAAAGGGTCGTTCGACTGCCAAAGGGGTCGTGACCCACAGGTTGAGAACCGCTGTTTTACGGGCACAGAACCTGGGCCCTGGTGTGCTGCACAAAGGCTCCTGGGGGCAGTTCCAGGGAGCTTATGCACAGGACAGGCATGATTGCTAGGGCTTGCCAGATTCTAGACAGGGCAGAGTTCGGGCCATGGCTTCTCTGGACAGTTCTGCACCACATGCCCGAGCTTTGAGCTGTTTTGGAGAAGTCGTTAAGAATTCTCAAATTCATCTGCAGAGAAATTTTGAAGGCAAAGGCTTACATTCATTTCAAGGATTTGAAATGATATCTCAAAATCAGTTATCCCTAGAGTGTCAGGAGACCTGGGTCCCCAAACCTTGATACTGACCTTGGTTGTTCCTCCCAATATCCAGAGCTGCTGTTTTGTCATCTGCAGGCTGTTTTGTCAGGGGGACATGAGATGCTACTGTGTGACAGTGCCAAGCACAGTGAGGATGCTTCAGAGAGGACGATGCATCAGAAGGTAAGTGCTCACAGTCTGGTCACTGGGGGCCTCACTCAGTAGGGAGGACACAATGGAAATGGCCTCCCGGGGCCCTACAGTGGACTTCATGCAGGTGCAGGCAGCTAAGGCTGAGGGTGTGAGCGAGGCAGCACTAGGACCCAGGGGCGGTGTCTGGAGCCGGCTCAGCTGGGTAAGTTCCCAGCCAGAACACAATGTTCTCAGTGTACCCACAGGAAACCCTAAAGAGGAGAACTGCACATGGCCCTCTGCTGGGTGTGTTCTGGCCCCAGCCTTTTATTCTTTTTCCTAACCTCAGTCCCCACTTTCACATCCTGTAACCTGCAGAGCTGCCTGTCCCACCCCGCTGGGCTGGTCCCAGGCCCTGGGAGAGCAATCAATGCAGGAAGCCCAAGGCCTCACTGACCTTAACCATTTTCAAATAAGACCATTTGCCTGTAACCTTGGCTTCCTGAATCGACCCTTTGTGATGGAAAGTTTTCACAGTTCAGAAGGCAGACTCAGGGGACAAAGCTGAGTTGCTGGCTGAGGCCAGGGTCTTGGCTCCGAGAAGGGAAACAGCTGATGCCGCTGAACCATCTCCTCCCTTCCTCTCTGAAGCCCAGACCCCACCTGGGACCGGGCGAGGGCCTGCACTGCTGCGGCATAAATCAGGAGGAACTGGGAGCTGCCTGGGGAACCAGGGCCAAGTTTGGAGCAGAACATCCTATGATGTGGTTCCGAGTTTTTATTTCCACGAATGCTAGAATACGTTGTCCCACCAAGCTATTTTTATTGAATGAAATTTGTTTTTTTTTTTAAAAAGCAAACCTCTGCAAAACCAACAGCCCTCTGTTACAGGGAAGGACAAGGTGAACTTTTCACTTCCTTCCCCCCAGCCTATCAATTCATCTGTGGTTTGGTGTCACCCACACTTCTGTGCTATATTCAATCTCAATTTTTGCCTCCTTGTTTTTGTAGCAGCAACAGCCAGGCTCTTAAACCCGTGTTGCTCTACAAGTTGCATGAGGCTTTCAAAACAACCTTTAGTGAGTTCTCAAAACAGATTGCAAAATGGAGACCCACCAGCCTTCTGGGCAGGTATGGAGGCCAGATGCCAGCCTCGATGCAGAGGCGGTTGGAAGAGAGTGAGCCATGGGAGAGAGCATGCGAGAAGCCAGCACCACCCAGCCATATTCTGGCTAACTGCTCTGTTGGAGGGCTGCAAGGAAGGAGCCAAGTTCTGGGTGACACACTGCGTATCTGCCTCCTTAATGAGCGGCCTGACCATGGAAAAGGAACCTCAGTGCTTCTCTTAAGCTCCATTAATAGGGCTCCTTCCACTCTGACATTTTAGCGTCTTTTTCCAAGTATTGTTTTGTAAGAGTTTTATGGTGTCCTCAGCCAGGCCAGTGAAAAGATTCTATGGGTGCCTCCCAGACTTGTCTAGGCTCAGGGATTCCCTTCTTGGAGAAGGGCCTATAGAAGCAGGCAGTGCTGCTACTCCTGAGGAAGCCTGCTCAAGGCTCGGGGTCCCAAAGGACCTGGATTCTAGTTTTAGTTTTTTCAACTTGCTGTATGACCCTGTACAAGTCACTTTCTCACTCGGGGCTCTGATACCCTCATCAATCAAAGGAGAAAGTTTGGTAGACATCACTGTTGTAAGTGGAGTTGTGTCCCTTCCCAAAGTTCATATGTTGAAGTACCAACTACACCCGCTACCTTAGAATGTCACCTTATTTGGAGATCCTGACAGAGGTAATCACATTATAATGAGCTCAGTAGAGTGAGTGCTAATCCAATATGATGGTGTCCTTATAGAAAGGGGAAATTTGGACACAGAGACTTACATAGAGAAGAAATGATGTCAAGAGACATTGGGAGAAGATGGTCGTCTAAGGCCAGGGGGAGAGGCCTGGAATGGATCCCTTCCTTTGGCTTCCAGAAGGAGCCAACCATGTCAACAACTTGATCTTGAACTTCCAGCTCCTAAAACTGTGAGACAATGACGTTCCTGTTGTTTAAGCCACTTAGGCTGTGGCACTTTGCTATGGCGGCTCCAGTAGGCTATTACAGCAGCCTGAGCCCAAATTAGTACAGTCGCTAAGGCTCCTCAGCTCTGGGGCTATAGGATTCTTTCCTGCCATCTTGGTGGCTTCCTCTGTCCCACATGCTCTTTCTCTTACCCTCTCCCATTGAGTAAATGACATCATGTGTGAAAAGTGCCTAGCACAATGCCCCACATATGGCAACTCTTCACTATCCATTAACCGTTACAAACATTATTAGGGCTCTCGGTGTCTAGACCCAACCTGGACCTACCCTGCGACCCTCTGTGCCAAAATGAGAGGTGTGGGTTCTAAGCCCAGGCCCTCGAAATCAGTCAGGCCTTCATCATTGAAGCCTTACTCCCCCCGCCCCCCAGCTTTTAAATCTAAGAGTATTAACTTGGCACCTTCCAGGAGCATTAACTCTTTTTAATGGAAAGCTTAATGGCCACAGAGGCAGTAGCACTCAAAGGCTGCAAAGGCTCAGAATGGGAGATTATTTCTCTGTCCTTGGACTCCATGATCCCCAGGGTCATGCAGAGCTGCAGAACTCTAAGGCTAAGCCTCTGCTTTCCTGTTTGCCTGATGAGGACACCCTTGGCTGGCAGCGTACTGGATAAGGCTCAACTACAGGGGTCTGTGCTTCTGGACAGCGGAATGCTGCCTTCCTCCTTGGTCCTCCATCCCCCTTCTGCTTCTTTTGAATGAATACTTCTCTGTCCTGAGAGATGGCATGGGGACCATGTCCTGCTTTCTTCCTGACTCCCTGAGTCCATAGGTCTCTGAAGGTCAGAGCACCTGGTACTCCAGCTGCAGTCTCGGGCTGGTCAGGAGAGTCCGAATTTCCTTGGCATTATCAGGAGTGCTTTCAAAAAACACTCTGGCCTTGAGTTTGTTGAAGCGGGATCACAGAATGAACCTTGAGTCTTCTCTGGGCGATGACACTGGTTCCAGGACAGCAAAGTGCTAGGTTGTCCTCCAGGCAGGGCGTGTTTGTTTGAGAGCTGCATTGCCCTGACTTCGCAGGATACACCAGATTGACTGTACTTTGGAGACGCTGCAGAAGGTTAAGTGGGTAGAGTCTGACTTGAACAGCCCCAAAACATGACCTTTGGGTTTGCTAAACAAAGGAAGAGCCCGTGCTTGTGTGGTTATCCTGAAATATATGCCTGAAGATTTCTGAGAATAAGGAGGGGAGCGAGGGCGTGGGATTCTCCTTCAGGCTTTCAGGGCCAGGGAAAGGAGGAGGAGAAACCGTTTAGGGGGGAAAACATCTTCCCACAATGTCCATATACTTTACATTTGATCATTCCAGGCTGCCTCTTATTCTGGTTTTTGGCTCCGAGCCCAGAAGGGAGGCTCCTTCAATAATCCTGTCTGAACTTAGGACATCTGCCTTTCCCTCAAAGTAAGTAAATACATATGAATCTGTAAACACTTAGTTTCTAGTCAGAGCAAAAATACTGTTCACCACCTAGTGGCCTGCAAAGATCACATCTGCTGCGTTCCACCAGCCTCTGGGTCTCACCCTTCCAGGCCTGGGGAGCCTGCTTTCGAAGTGATTTACTGTGAAAGTCAGGATTCTTGGCCTCTCTCTTAGGTGCCCCTGGGCTGTGCCAGACAAATGCTCTTTTGATGGAAAGTGGAGCACAGTGAAGGAGGCTCAGAACAATCTGGTTCTTGCTTCCTTCTCCTGAGAGAGATCACCCTCCCCTGTTTACACACTTTGCTGCAGCCACACCAAATGACTCGGAGTTCCACAAATGCCGCCCTGCCTTTGCACATGCTGTTCCCTGTACTTGGAGTGCTTATTTGGCTTCTTCCCCTCTTTGCTCGGCTAACTGATTCACCAGGCACACTCAGGCACCGGCTCCCCTTGTCTAGGAAAATTTCCTTGTCATCCCCTCTATATTCCCACCTCCACGCCCTCTTGGCTTCCACAGCACCGTGTACAGACCAGAATCATGGGGTTGTGGCACTGTATATATTCCTCATGTCTCCTTTTTCCTTATGTGCCCCCCAACCTGAGACCCATTGAACCCTAGGAATGAGGCCGGGGAGCCTGTATTTTTATTAAGCTTGATTCTGAAGCACAGCCAGGCTTGGGAAGCATTGCCCTAGCTTTGTACTTGTTTCCCCACAGATTACTAGACATACACTAGACCCTGAGTAAATGTTTGACCCTTCTAGTTTCTCTCCTAGCCTCTTCTTGTTTCACTTCTGTCCCTTGATGCTAGCCCTAGACCAATAATTTGCTTATCCTCTTGCCCTTACCATGCAAAACTGTAACCACCAACTGCTCATTTTTTTCCATTCCTACTGCCATGCTGCTAGGAGCTGTTGGTATACTTCTCCAAAGATTGGTGCCCTTGCAAGTTCAGGGACTCTAACCGCAACTGGCCTCTGAATGTGGTTGGCAATCATCTGACCCTAGTCAGCTCTATTCCATTCTTCACAGAGACTGTTCCCAACCTCAGTGTTCACCTCCTCTGGCCCCACAGACAGTAGAACAACTTGCTTTCTCCTTCACAGAGAAAATAGAAGCCACCAATGGGAACTCCTTCAACTTCCTGCCATCTCACCTCCACATACACCGGCACTATCCTTTTCGCTCTCCCTCCAAGACAGTGGTTCTCAACCTTCTGGCCCTTTAAATACAGTTGCTCATGTTGTGACCCAACCATAAAATTATTTTCGTTGCTACTTCATAACTGTAATGTTGCTCCTGTTATGAATCGTAATGTAAATATCTGATATGCAGGATGGTCTTAGGCGATCCCAGTGAAAGGGTCGTTTGACTGCCAAAGGGGTCGCGACCCACAGGTTGAGAACCGCTGCTCTAAGAGTAATCAGTCCTACTGGGCTCTGGATCCCATTCCCTCCCACTTCTTTAGGGCCCTTACGTCCTCAGTTGCCCTCTTTCTCTCTTTGACCTTTCCCATCATAAAGAAAAACAAATGTCTTGACTGGGTGTCCTCCTTTAACTACCATGCTCTCTCATTTTTGCCTCTCCTTCCCGTTGAGCTTCGTTAAAATGCTGCCTAGATTTGGCTTCACATTTCACCTTCCACTCAGCTTCCCACCCTCCGCAGTCTGGCTTTGCCGCCACCACGCCTCCTACAATGGCTACTCTTGAGACAAGGTCACCGACAATTTCCTTGGTAAAACCCAAAGACCTTCTCCATCCCTTATCTCATTTACTTGCTTGGCTACCCCGGATACTGCTGTTTGCAGCCTCCTTCTCATCTCTTTCTTCTTGGTTTCCCTGATGCCAAACTCCTTCTCCCTTTCCAGCTCTTTCTTGCCAGTTGCTTTCCTAGGCTCCTCCCCCTCTGCCGGTCTCTTGCATGTTAGGATTCCTCAGGGATTCGATCCTGCTTGGTCCAGTTATCCCCTCACCCTATGGGCTCTCTCCCCGGACAATTCCATTCCTTCTACCTTTGATTCAACAAACATCTCTAGGCTGGTGAGTCCCAAACTTAACTGTAGCTCAGCTCACTCTCCTGAGCTACAGACATAGTCACTTGCTTATTGGACATCTCCTTGAGTCCACTCCTCTTCCTGTACCTCTGTCTCAGTGAACAGTACCTGGTTTTCCTCCCCGAGTTCTCCGAATCTGACCGGTCATCAGGTCCTGTGTATGATACTTCCTGAGTGACTTTCAAATTCAGTCCATCCTCTGCCGCCACATCTTTGATGCGGGTTGCAGTTATCTTTCACCTGGACTCCCACAACAGCTTCCTAAGGATCTGGATCTTACTGCCACTCATTCGTCATCCCTCCCACCCCCCAACCTGCCCAACTAAAATTTCTGAGGTGAAACTGGATGTTGTCATTCCCTTACTTCACAACCATGTAATGGTTTCCCAGTTCTCTGGTTGAAGTTCAAATTCCTTAGCAAATCCATGAGGTCCGATCCTGTCTCATCTTTGCTCTTATAGTCTATGAACTAGCCAGGACGAAGCTCCTGCAGCTCCCTGAAAGCACGATGCCCTTTCTCACCCTTGGACCTTTGCATATTTTTTTCCTTCCACCTAGGAAGTCCTTCCTTCTCACCTCACTTGTTCTTTGGGTCTCGGCCTAAACATCATCCTGCTAAGGAAGCCTATTTTGGCTCAGCGGAATTAATGGTCTCTGACTTTGTAGGATCTCATGCTTTCTCCTAGCCGACAGTTTTTACACTTAAAATTACCCTTTTTCTCCCTTAATATATTTATAAACTCGAGGTTGGTGACTGTGTCTTCTTTGATAGTGTATCCTCAGTATCCAGCAGATGCTAGCAGATGCTAGCAGCTAGACATGTAGTAAGGGCTCAATAGTTGTCGGTTGAATGAATACAAGACAGTTACTACCCGTTTTGTTGCTGGTAGTAAACTATATGTTGTTTCGTTACCTGCCCTGAAGAGCTTATATTATAAAAATGAAATAAGCTGCCAGGAAAACTTGACCTACTGGAGTAATGAGTTGATCTTGAAAGGTGGAGAGCTTTTGGAAGCAGACACGTGGCATTACCCCCGGGCATGTGTGCAGGACCAGGAGGGCAGGAACCCAACAACTCAACTGGCCTTGGATCCTCATGAGGATGGGATCGTGTGAGACACGGCTGCTTTGGCACAGTTTTCATTTATTCCATAGCTTCCACCTGTCAGTGTAGCACTACAGAGAGGTCTGGGTTATAGCTTTGGCCCTGCCCACTACTTATCTCAGTGACCTTAGCCATTACTCCACTATGGATGTTGCTCTGCAGATAAACAGTGTCTAAAACAGGGAAAACACACATCAAATTCATTCACTCAGTAAATACCTGTAACACACTTACTATGTGCCTGGAAATGTTCCAGGTGCTGAGTGTATGAAGGTGAATGAGACAAATTCTTGACATTGTATTTGTAAACCGGGGGTGAACTGTATGATCTCTAAGGTCTCTTCCTGCTCTAAAATTCCGTCTCCCAGTTTGACCAGTTGCAAATAAACAAGGCAGACTAGTGGCAAAGCACCGTGCTCCATCCTCCTTTATGTTCTCCTCTCTTGGTGCCATCTCCACTCCAAACTCAGCTCTGGGAAGCAAGAAAAGGTCGGCTATCTTTGTACTCGGCCTGCAACTCGAGATTTAACTCTCCAAAGGATCTGCTAGTTAAGCTTTTCCCTTTTTGTGGAAAGGCTTTGTCTTGGTTGGACCAAGGAGACCTGGCAAGATGTGTTAGGTAACGTTAGGTGCTTTGGCAAAAGCACTGGGAGAGGCAGAGCGGCCTTACCCTCCACGTGCATTCTTTTAAGTTTGCCTGAAAGGGCACCAGGTTATTGGACAGGTTCCCCCCTTTTCTCTGGATGTTCGGCATCCCCTGGTCCTGTCTCCTTTCTTCTACCTCTGCCTTGGCCTTAGGTCCACACTTCAGGATCTGGTGTTTCAATCAGGAAGAAGGGATTCAAGGACTCTCACCATGTTGGGTAGGAAAGCCATAGGCTGCAAGTAACTGGACAAAGCGGAGGTCCTTGGGTCAGGAACATGACTTACACTGTCATTCCAGGTGAGCTGTCAGGCATGGGATGGCACTATTAAGTAACACACTTATGTGTATCAGTGAAAAAGAAGGACTTTAATACTGATCCTGGATAATTAATTATGAAGTCAAAAAGTAAAATTTTTGTCTATGTAAAAAAGTCTACTATTTATGTCTCATTACTATGAGATAAATTATATGTCATTGTATATCAGATTGACATGAATAATTCTTTTTTTAATATATATTTTATTGATTCTTTACAGAGAGGAAGGGAGAGGGATAGAGAGTTAGAAACATCGATGAGAGAGAAACATCGATTAGCTGCCTCCTACATGCCCCCTACTGGGGATGTGCCCGCAACCAAGGTACATGCCCTTGACCGGAATCGAACCTGGGACCTTTCAGTCTGCAGGCCGACGCTCTATCCACTGAGCCAAACCGGTTCTGGCAATAATTCTTTATTAACAGAAAATATTGCCTTCAAATTTCCTAGTATGTGATGAACTAAAGTATGGAGAAAAAGATTTGAAAGACCCCCCCCCCCGCTTAACTATAATCTTGGTACCTTACCGTCTCTGTGCCTGTTTCCTCAACTGTAAAATGATGACTGCCTCACTTCTCTCACAGGGTTGATGTGAATCCACACTACATATGTGAAAATGCTATGGAAACTGCAACGTGCCTTATGCACAGAGGTACCCTGTTACCATCAGCGTTCTTAGGACGCTGTCTGTGCAGTCCTGGCCATAGCTGCCATCTGTCCTCTTGCCTTCCCCTTGCTTACTTGCTGGTAGGTGTCCCTCAAGGACATAACTACATTTTCACCACACTAAATCTTAGAAGGTTATGCAGGCACAAACATAAGCTAATTCCTATCAGTTTTTAAGGAAGAGGCTGTTCCTTC